CATTCAGCTTTTTGGCATTGCAGGAGTCTCAGGGTAATCTGTGGGGTTGGGCACTCTAGGGGGAGTCTGACGGTAGTCTCTGAGATTGGCACATCGAGTCTCACGGTCGTCTCTGCGGGTCGGCATTCCAAGCAGTCTCTGTCGCAAGAAAGGATTTCTAGCTGACCTTTAAATCTAGCAACCCCTCACCCAGGGCGGGGAAGAACTCGGCGCGAATTCCGCCAACTCTAAGTTGGAGCCAATTTTGCCCGGGTGCAGTCGTTGATGTCGGTGGACCGGCGGCTGCGCGCCACCATCTGCAAGCTACCTTTCGGAGGCCCCTCCCGGCGGCGGATGGGGGGGGGGCTTCCCGGATGAATTTATTTCAATTTTGTTGGACCCAATACTGTTTGCATACGCTCGATGCTGTTGGGAAGTAAACACCCGTATGTGGTGGAAGAAGTTGCGCGGATGTTGCTGCTTGCTTCACTGTGGCTGGCCAGTTTAGAGAGCGGCATGCTGCGTGGACTGACATGGCTAGTGTAGACAGGCATGTCTGTTTGGGCCAGAATCAGGTTCCGTGAAAGGAAACAAGCTGTGGGTGAACGCAGTCGGATTACCTTGGCCGCTCCTTCTGCTTTACAGCCTCCTTGGCCGCATCTAGGCCAGTCGAATGAGTTTTGGCGCAGGTTAGAGTTCATGCACATGTCACAGTGCACCACATGTTGAGGTTGTCTGCAGCTTTTACATGCTCCACGTCGCATCGGCGCTGTACAAGCAGCCATACTGCTGCTGCTGTTCTTCGCACTCGGGACGGAGGTCCGGGGCCGGCTCACTTCTTGCTGGTCATCCTCGGGCGTGCTGGTCGCTGCCGGGGTCTACAGTCCGGACACAGACCTCTCTCTGTCCCTTGGAAGCGCTTGTTGCACTGCCTGTTTGTGCACGTCTGCCATCCGGCTTGCCGGGTGCTGCGGCTGGAGCAGTTCAGGCAGTGTCTTGTCTCGTCGTTGCCTGCGGCTTTGCTTGGGAAGCTTTCCTTGCAGCCTCTGCAGAGGAACCAGCCGGTTCGCAGCCGCTTCGTTTTGTCCGGGAGCTTCTGCTGACAGGCGATGCAGGCGAGGGCGCTGTCCGGCATGGTTCGCATGGTGGGCGTGAAGTCCTCGTGCTGAGGCGGCACGCGGAGCACTGGCGTTTTGTGTCGGCATCCGTCTGTGCCAGTTGGGCTCGGGGGAAAGCCTCTTCGACCTTGGTGAAGTGGCAGCGGCTGCATGATACGCTCTTGGCCTGGGCCGCCTGCATGTTGACGTTCCGCTTGACGGGGGCTTTGGTGTTGAGGGGTTCGCGCTGGCACGCCAGGCACTGACCGGTGCGGTTGGCGCGCACCAGCTCCCATTGTGCGTGGGCGAAGAGGTCCCAAGTCTTCAGCTCTCTGCACTTTCCACACCGGCCCCGGGGCCAGCGCGCGTCCTGCATGCCCTCCCAATCGATGTCCTCGCCCCGGAGCTTGCGCAGGAGAAGTGTTGGGCCCTCCGTGGTGCCGCGCTGGAAGAGCCAGAGCGGGAAGGGCCGCAGGATCAGCAGGTCGAATCTGCTCCGGACGCGGCTGGCCACCACGGTGCCGTAGGCGGCGTGGGTCTTGGAGTCCACGTTCAAGTCCAGCATGACAGCTGTCCTGAGCTGCAAGCGTGTGCTATGGCTTCTGCGTGTTTTATTACATGCTGTCTGTCTGCAAGAGAAGTCTTCGCGTGCAGCCGGGCGGCAGTGTCTTGCCTTGACTGGCGTGGGCCGTGATCAGCGGGATCTGCGTGCGGCTGACCTTCAGCACGGCGTTCTTGCGGCCCTTGTCCAGCTTCCAGGTGCGCGAGATCGGGAGGATCGGGTAAAGCCCGGGCTCCTTCGAGCCTGGGAGAATCCAGTCGGCGCCCTCGAACTTGACGTACCTCGTGGCGCGGGGCGTGTCTCGGGGGCGATGGGGGAGGCTGCTCCTACGGCTTCTCGTGCTGCTGCGGTGCACGATGCTCGGCTGCTGGTCGTTGTCGTGCCAGACCCAGCTGTGCACGTAGCCGACGCGGCCCTTCAGCAGAAGCTTCTCCGAGCGGTCCACGTGGTGGGTCAGCGCGACGGGCATGCCGATGGCCAGGGGAAGCATGCCGCAGAGCCCCTCCGTGTCCATGTCGTGGTACTGGAGCCAGCGGACTTTAGCTTCCTTGTCGCACGCCTGCGCCTGGAGCGCCTCCACGCCAGCTTTGTCCTTGGCCACGGACCAGTGTAGACGGGTTCCCGCGTCCCGGGCGTAGGCCTTGGCGCGGTCCTTGTTGATCTGGTACTTGGCGTCGTTGTTGGCCACGACCACGGTGGCCTTCACGAACTTCTCTTCGCGGAGCCGCGGGTCGCGGGGTCCGTCCGCCACACGCTTCCTGGATCGCCGCTCTTCGGGCGAGAGGGTGCAGCCTTCTACCGGGAGGCCGTGCAGGTACTTGTAGTTCTTCTCCGAGAGCTTTCCGTCGCGAAGCTCGTCCACGACCTGCGGGCGTGTCAAGTGAAGGGCGATTTGGGGGTCTTGTTTCTTCACTTTGCGGCGGGGCTTCTGTGGGCGAGGGCATGTGCAGCTGCTTAAATGCTCGCCGGGCCTCGTTCCACCAGTCGTCCTGGCACCTCATCCGCTGGTGCAGCTCGGTGACGCCTTGCACCGCGCCTTCCCAGAAGAGCCCCCGGCCCAGGTCCACGAGCGGATCGCGCTCCACAGCCCCCGTGGCCAGTTTGCCGGGCGCCTGAATTTGGGCG